ATTGAATCGAGGCATTGCATCGATTATCATTAAGCGACGCGTTATTTTCTTTATTCCGCGTCGATTCATTGTTTTAAAACGCGTTATTTTCTTTGTTCCGCGTCGATTTATTATTTTAAATATTATAATTTACTTTTAATAAATCGAAGCAATGCCTCGATTACGATTAAGCTACACTTTTATTTTTATATAAGTACTCGCTCCTTTTCCTTTTCCTTTTATTTTTTTATTATTATTACAACTACTTTCTATTCAACTTCTCAACCTTAACCTTAACATTCAACTTCTCAACCTCAACTTCAACACTCAACTTCTTAACTTTAACTTCAACACTTAACTTCAACTTCTTAACCTTAACACTTAATTTTAACTTCTCAACCTTAATACTCAACTTCTTAACCAACTTCAATACTTAATTACAACTATATTCAATTTAAGTAATTATTTTCTTTTTGATTCTTTGCTTTTTAATTCTTTGCTTTAAGCTAATTATTTTCTTTATTTAAAATATCGATTCCTTTTCTTTATAACGCTATAGTCGAGGTCAACTCTTTTAGCACCGATAGCAATAAGCTAATCAACGAGATATTTAGTCGCTATAAAGATTTCGTAATCGTTTAAACTAATAGTAACGTTATTAATTTAATATTTACTTGCTATAACGAGAAAGATACCGCTTTGTTTCTAAAACTAATCGGCCTCGATTACGAATAGAAAGGTCGTAAAGGTTTTGTCGACGAGTTCGGCATTAAGCACTACGGTGCTAATAAAATTAGTAATAACATTTATATACTATGATTATTAATTGATTTTTTATTTAAAAAGAAAGCGCTTAAGTCCTTTATCTTTTCAACTACTTTATCTTTTTCTTTAACTTAATTAAAAAGCAATTCACTTATAAAGATATCAAGGTTCGATTGATCTTAAATGATCTTACTCTTAAGCTTTTCGATAGCGATTATGCCGAAGCTAAAAGCATCTTAAAAGAGCTATTAATACTATACCTTTTTACTATCGATAGCACTTTAGCATACAAACGCTTTACCTTTAAGTTTTCGGATGAAAATGAGTTTAAGTAAAGCAATAAGTGCTAAAAGCTAAGAGAGCTACTTAAGTCAAACGAGATTTATCTAAACCATGCTTACAAGCAAGAACTTGGGCTAAAGGCGAAGACCGAGTTGAACGTATTCTACGTAACTGCAAAAGGACGGGTCTTTATCAACTCTTTATAACTAATAGACTTAGGCTAAAGAACGGATCTTTACCAACCCTTAAGCCTTTGTAACTAGTAAATTTAACTAATACTTTAAGTCTCTAATTAATAAATGTGATTAGTAAATATAATTAATAAATATAATTAATAAATATGATTAATAAATGTAATTAGTAAATGTAATTAGTAAACCTGATTAGTAATTATGCATATGCATATTTTTATGTATATAAACCCCATAAAGTAACCCTACGCCCCATAGGGTCTCCCCATAAAGAGGGGCAGAATTTTGTACCCCCCGTAGGTTCCCCCGTAAGGAGGACTCAAAACTCCGTGGGGCCCCATGGGGCCCCATGGAGCAGCCTAATTTCTCGAATAAAAAATAACGCCGAAAATTCGATAAGTATTACGCAACACTTTTTTTTATTAGCTAATAATACTGCTAATCACTTTTCGGATCAATTAATAGAAAAAGAAGATAGTTCACTTAAAGAGACAAAGCTCTTTTAAGTACAGTTAAGTGAAGAAACGAGAATTAAAGATTAAAATGATTTTCCTTTCTTAAAAACAAGCGAGCAATTAAATTAATCTTTTAGTTTTTTCTTTATAGTTAAGTTTTTTCGGCCTTTGCTGCTTTTTCTTTATAAAATACTCTTATGTCCTCTTTTGTTTTTTTTTCGGATTTACTTTCAATAAGAGCTTTATTCATAAACTTTAATAAGAGTCTTTTTTATTTAAATAAGTCTTAAATAAAAGTGTCGGATGTAATCAAGTGATAGACTTATTACGTATTAAGACTTTTTTAGATGTATAAGTAAAGGGCTATTCTTTAAGTTCATTAAACAACAATTAAGAATCTTTCTACTTATCTTCCTCCCCGTGTTACCGTTTAACAAACTTTAAATCTAATTGAGTCTCGAATAACGATTATATCGACGGCGATAAATCTAAAACTGCTTTCGCTGACTTTATAACCGTTACTCGCAAAAAAGAGCAGTTCATGCAATACTTTTCGAGTAAAGCATTCTTCGCATACGGAAAACTTAACAAACTTGCAAAAAAAGATAAGTTTATTATAATTTATAATTATTATAAGAAACCTTATTACTTTAAGCCGGAATTCGTAATAGCTTATCTTTATTTGAAAGCTGTTTTCGATAAACGGATCGAAAAGAAGCGTAAAGACAAAGCTGCTAAGCAAGCTAAATTAAAAACGGTTAAAAATACCGACTTTTTTAAAAAGACTTTTTCCGTTACTCTTTTTATACTATCGATTCGTAACTGCGCTAATAAAACCTTTTAACTTGCTTTCGACATTCGAAATTCCGATATAAATTAGCAATTAAAGTTTGCTTAAAGTAGATTATCTTAATTAAAATTAATTTAAAAACATTTTTTTTTTCAACTTGACTTTTCTCGCAATCTTTAATCGAAATAGCGTCTTCGAAAGCTTCGGACTTTGCTATCGAATATTATTTTTACTTTTAAGTACTAAATATTTCTATTCTTTTTATAATCTTTACTTTTTTTTTTTTTACTTTTTTTTACTTTTTAAAAAACACGACGGCTTACCGCCGTAACGGTGTTCTTTTATCTCTTTTCTTTTTTACTTTAATATGCCGCACCTTTTATTAAAGCTTTTTTTAAAGACTCTTCTTTTTAATTCTCTTAAGAAACCTTATACGCTTTCGCTTTTTAATCTTTAAATATATTCGAAAACACTTTTATTTTTAATAATAACTATATTAAGTATATGTTTTATTATTGAAAGTTTTTCGAAAACATCTTTTCATTCGATTTAAGCAAAGCAATTACCGTTTTTAAAATAAATAATCATTCACTTTCATTTTAAAAAAAAAGCATAATTGCTTTATTCGTTAAAACGGACGACGGCAACTTCGATTAAATTCGTTTATATAACGTTATTTATTATTCGAGCTTTAATATTAACTTCCTTTTTTGTTTAAATCTTATTCGAAAAAGTATAAATATAACTTTAAGCGAGAAAAGTGCTTTGCTCTTTTTATTAAGTAAAAACACTTTAATTTTCACCGCTTAAATTGCTTATAACTTGTTTTGCTTTAATATCGATCTGCGCTAGCTTATAAACCGAGTTCTTCGTTTAAATTATATATATAAAGCTTTCGATTTTAATTAACGACGCTACGCTTATTTCTTTTAGCTAGCTTTAACTTTCGATACTTTAAATGTTTTTTAATAACGATTTAAATATCAAGCTTTAGCCGCTTTTTTTATTAAAAAAGCTTAAGCTGTTTAGCATAAGCGTTTTAAACATTTCGAATAAAAAAACTTATTAAAAATGTAAAAACTATTAAAAGACATAGATTTACGTATACTTCTTTTTTTATACGCTTGCGAAAGCTGCTTCGATGGTCGAATAATTAAAAGAGCATATAAAAGACAAATCAATTTAAAACGATATTTCGACGAGCTTATTTATATAGATATTATTAGATTTTTTCGTAAAAAGTACGACGGCTCGACCACCTTTATATCATCTTTTGAATTTAAAAGATCCTTTGATAAAGCCTTTTCTTGCCGTTTAAGCTTGCAAACAACTTTATTTTCTGACGTTTCAGACCTCTTTTATTCTCTTCGAACTGCTTTCGCTTCGATAGCTCGAAAAATAATAAATAAAACATTAAACCGCCGCTTTCGAAGCAATATTACGGCCGACTTTACTCGACTAGACGAAGCAATAACACTTTATTATAACTTTATTAAACGATTTCGAAACGAGCAACGAAATATAAACAACTAAGTACTTTTAAAGCTTATTATAAGTACTAAAGATTAGTTTAATAATTTTAATTACGTTAAAGTAAAAGCGCAAATAAAAGCTTTAAATAAAAAGAGAGCGGACACGCAACGTATTATCTTTTAATATTTCGAAATAAACGATAAATTCGTCGCATCGATTTAAAGCATAACGGATAAAGTTATTACTCGCAAAATTGTTAAGAAATCTACGAACTTTATTATTATTGCTTTTTACGCTAAGTCTAGCGAAGAGATCTTTATTTTTATTCGCATTCGCAGCGAATCTTTTTATTTACTTTTTATCGAAACGCTTTTATTACTTTTTTTTATTAACTTTGCGAAAGCAATAATTAAAAGAATCGATTTGACTTTAATAAAAGCTAAGCTTTAAGTTAAAGCTTTAGCTAAGAAAAGCGGACTTAATTAAACTTTATCTTCGAATAAAGCTTCGCTATTTTTAACTTTTATATACTTAAAAAAACCCGACTTTCGAATCTTCGTTACAATTATAAACGAAGTTAAGCGCAATCGACTTTAGCATCTTTATGCTTTGCGTAAAGCATTAATCGATTCTTTTCGCGATTTCACGATAGACTTTATTATTAAATTATACGCGATTTAAACCGGATAATTACTCTTAATTAAAGACTTATAAACACGTAATACTTTTATTAACTAAAAAAAAAAGAAACGGTTAAACGTCTTTTATCCGCGATTAAAGTCGAAATACTATAGCTTTAATATAATTACGCGGTCTGCTATATCTTTTATTTTATGCACGTCTTTAATAAGAACGGCGAGCTAAAACTAATATTAATTAAAGACTTCGTTTTCGATAAAATAGTTGCATAAACGAAATAAACGCCGATCGAAATTAAAATCAGCGATAAAAGCGTCGACTTTAAAGCTTTTAACGTTATCGTAATTTTAATCGTTTTTTTTTTAAAAGAAGTAAAGCTTTTCCGCTTTTTTAATATAAAAGGCACGGCTAAATTAATTAAAAAGAAATATAAGATTACGAAATACGATTTAAAATGATAAAGCTATTGCAACTTTATTAAGTGTATTCAATATTTCCGTTATAATAAATGCAATTAAAAAATCGATTAGCACGACGATCCAGCTTATAACGATTGCATAACGCCGGCGAAGTGCGCGAACTGTTATAGTCTTTTCGAAGCCGAGTATTAAAACTACTTTGCTAACTCGTATAAAAAAGATAGCAAATTAATACGACTTATAAAAAAAGAGCTCGCGGTTATCCGACGAGTTAATATTAAGAACTATAAAAAGAAGCACGCACGTGATAACATTTTATACTTCATTTTTACAGCTCTTATAAGCAGCGTTATTATTATTATTATTATTAATAGCAACACTTTTAGTATAAACACTCCGGCACATTTATTTCGTTAAATATAAAGCTCGAAAGCAATTAATATTATAAACATCGATACGGCGAAAGCTTTTGCAACGCATAAGCGCGCCGTAAAATAAAAAGTAACGAAACACGAACGCATAACTTTGATTTTTATTTTTACTTTTAACAGTCGCTTAAAAGCTTAAAGAAGCTATAAAATAATTAAATAAAAACTTACGGGCGCAACCCCTAGGTGTAGCAACCGAGTGCACTCGGTTGCAATACTTTACTTACACCTTACTTACACCTTACTTACACCTTGACGTTTTGGTATAACAACCGAGTGCACTCGGTTGTAAATCGAATACTCGGTGTATACTCGGTTGTAATTCGG